CTGTTGAAGGTAGATCCATCGAACAAATGTTTCCACGGAGAGACCAATGCTCACGGCTAAATGTTGATGATGGTAGAGAAGGGGATGGATGGAAAGTTAGGTCGTGAAATTCCAGAGAGCTGATGAGATTCACTCCTGAGTTCATCACAATCAACTTTAATGTTGTGCCAAATGACTCGGATTGACCTAGGGGGGTATTTCGGCCAAGGGAGACAGAGAGGACCACATGCAAAAAGGTCTGACACTGACGCGAATATCAAAGCGAAGAGGAACCGCTGATGGCAATGTATGAGAGGCAAAGCAGAAGGACAGGCGCAGTATTTCCTTTGCCTTGACGTAACCAGCGATGGGCAGACTGTGCCTACCCCAGATAACTACCCTCGGGGGAATGTGGGATAAATGAGAAGAGGGGCTAGAGATAAGAACAAGGAAAGGGAAGAGGAAAAGAGAAATAGGATATTGAAAAAATGGAAATGGAAAAAAAACGTGAATGATAATGGGAAAGGGGGAAATGGGAAAAAATCAAATAAGGGGAGGAAAGGGGAAAAAGGGGAAATGACACATGAAGAAAACAAGTAAGATGATAGAGAAAAGGAAAAGCGCAAAGGGACGAGATGGGAAAAAAGAACTTGAAATGAAAATATAAAATTAGGCTAAGAAAACATAAAAGATGAAGTAGACTTTAAAAACTTATGTTCCTCAGCAACTCAGGAACATCGTCTCCTTCGTGAGAACACCTCACTCGGTTTCGCGGAATCTCTCTGATTTCGGTCGTCAGTCTCCCTCTATATCTGGAACCAGATTAATACCCTTCAGGGTACCCAACGGAGACCTCCTCCCCACCCTGACTCACCTCCCTTGCCCGTTCCTTAATGGAGAAGTGGCACACGGGCGTCCTCCCTTGAGGCATATCAAAACCCCGTGAAGGAGGCAGTGCGTCGATGCACTTAAGTCTGTTGTTCATGTTGTTTTTATTTCTCTCGTCACACAGACCCAACTTGACCGTGTTCATTGCTCCGGAAGCAAAAACCACCTCTGCTGGAGATGACCAGAGAATATACTCTTTCTTCAGCGCCTGTACAGTACTGTTACTCCTGGCCGCCCGCCCTCTGCTCGCTCTCTACACTATATATTTCAAGAAATTGTGTTCTCCCGTCTAAATGAGAAATTGTAACTACTATCTCAACCAGGAAGACGGGAGAGAATGGAAAATATCGAACCATTAACCTCACCCACTGTGTTTGTAAGATGAAGGCGAGGATACTTTATATTCGCTTTCTTCACGTCACACGACTCCCTCAGAGGTTATATACATTAAGGTAACACAATACACTCCACTGCTTCATTTTACTCTAACTAGGCGGCCAGTATATGTATATTCCTTGATATCAAAGGAACCTTTGACACGGTTCATTCTGTCTTTATCGTAAATAAGCTTAAACAGCGAGAGGTTCGGGGAGGACTTTGATGGCTCGCTTCTTACCTCTCTGGGTATCAAGATCGGGTTACTGTTTAAGGCTTCAAATACCTTGATCACGAAATTGATATTGGCAGTTCTTAATATGTAGTTCTGAGTCCCACCTTTAACTCTCCATTGCTTCCCTCTCACGACCGACAGTTCTTCACTCAGCATATGCCGATGATGTTCTCCCCAAGCCGCTGACCGCCTCACTATGGAGGAAGCCCTTGATCTGGTCTCCAGAGGGCATGATTCACTTGATTGGCTCTCTGCGGGATCGCACCTGGATCAGGGGAGAATAAGGACCTCATCCTCTGAATACGAGGGCTAACGTCATCACTTCAGCGTGTGGGACGCTCTCTGACCTTCCAATATATATAACCCAGACATGTCGGCAACTCGGGGACTGAGACAGTACGTGGCTTTGCCAAGATGACTCTACTAGTCCACATATCTCGGAAATAGCGGCTGTAGATTATTAACTGGTTATTTACAAAATAAGGGGTTGGAGATTGATGGGGAAAATAAATAATAGAATGGTGACAGAGGCAGAAACGGTATCGTCAGCATCAGCGGATCCACGGGTTACCCAAGAGCTTTTGCTATGATCAGAGAGAGCACTGTGCTCCACACCTCTTGCACTGTTGTAATATTTTTCCCGGAAGAAAAGCGAAAAAAACAACAACCTAAATTACAGCCGTGAGAAGACGAAAATAATTCATCTGGCGGTGTAAAGGAGTAACCGGTCACATAATACATATTAAAAGGGTGAAAGGTGTTAAGATTATTCTTAAATGTGAATATGGGGCACTCACTCCCATATAAAGCTTAATATAAAAATGGGTTGATAACTGAAAGAATTTCCACAATATACAAACAATATACTGTATATAATAAAAGCAGCCGGGATATGAAGGCTATCATAAGGAGTTTTACACGGGAAGTTAATTAGTTGATTATTCGAAGGTGTAACATCATTCAGGTGATGACAAGATCACTCACACACACACACACACACACACACACACACACACACACACACACACACACACACACTAAGGGTAAACTCGGGTAGAAGGTTAAGTAAGAGTTATTAGTCGGAAGATTCTAAAGTGAAAAAGTTGATAGCGTGGCCGAACATGTTATTTGACCGTCAATATGTTCTTTGGCAATATATGTTAAACACCACTTCTAAGTACAGCTATTTATTAGTTAACTAAATGACAGGGACACATAAATAAATCATTATATCGACGTTACTAGCCACTGACTCCCGGACACAAACATGAAACGGATACACTTCCCACCGTAAGTAACTCGCCCTATGGATCGCTCTGAGGGAGGCCTAGCGGCTAGAGAATCTGTCTGCAGGTGTTGCTGAAGAGAGTGGTCCCGGCGGGTACTGGAGTCTGTCTCCTGTGGGAGACGGGGACTCGGTGCTGGGGCGGGAAGTCCCCCTCCCGACCGCGACTTGTGTGACTCCGTCTTCCTCTGAGTTCTATCTCTTCCTGTCTGTCTCACGGACTTGACTTGACTTGACGTCTGTAGCTAAGGTAAAGGGCTATTGCTTGTAATGCTGGGCGGGAGGACAGATTAGGATTGGAAGTACTTTGGTGGCAATTTGGGGGAGGGAGGGGACTGGTTTAGGATCAAGGGAAAAGAGGGAGGGAAATTGA